TTCTATTTTATTTGTCTCATTTTAAAACTGGGAAAGCCATAATTAATTAGGAACACACCGCCCGGCCAGCTTCTTGTTAGACACTTTTCTCTGGGGCAGGATTCGTTAAACACTACAGTGAAATGAACTTTAAAAGCGTTTTTTTAATTGCACTGGCGCTGAGTTCAATTATTATCGTTGGCATGATCCTTTATACCAAAGAAACCGTACAAGACATGATCGGATTTAGTGAGAACACTAACTTTTATTCATCGACTCAATTTTTCGCCTACATCTCGGAGCTTCACGATTATACAGCACAAAGAAGTACAACTCAAAAGCCATTTATTTATCTAACAGAAACCGAGCAGTGCCTTCCTCGAAACCTCTCCTCTTCTTCTCAGATTGGCGATCCAGAGACCTGTAACTGTGATGTGATTGTGCTAAGTTTCCTTGCCAAGTGCCAAGATAACAATAAATCACACATCAGTTATTTGTTTGACTCGAGCACCCTCTTTGCATCAGGACGAAACGTACTCTTTTTTGCCGCAATGGATAGAAGACCAGGATATCATTATTACATATTTTTGAACGACGACACCTTTCTCGAGTACAACGAGTTTACACCCGCCAACATGACTAAGATGTCGCCGTTCCGAGCTGTTGAAAAGTGGCTGCTAGATTACGAGCCAGCAGTGGGTGTGTTGGATTACAAGGACAGTAACGGAGCAGACATTGTCATTAAGAGAAGGAGAGATTTATGTGGTATAAATGAATCATCTCTTGTTCTACCTACTGTGGTATTCGACGGCCTCTTTAACGCTTTCCATCATAAAGCTGTTGAACATGTCCTTCCCTATCCAACACAATACGAACGCGGGTGCATATATTGTTGTAACCGAAACACTATGATGGAAGTCGAAGTCAAATTTGGCGGCCAAGCACTTCTGTTTTCTCCTGTCACAGCTGGCAATCCCAAACATCGAGAGTATGATAGATCTGCAAATGGTATCATTCGAATATTGCATGAATTTATAGCGAGGATTAAGCAAGAGGCGCCACCAACGCTAAGAAATCACGTCATATTCAAAATGTTACACACGCATCCGATCCGTACTCTCTTAGAGTCGCCTTCGTTTTGTGTGAATGTATCTCGGCACCAGCCTATTATTCCATACAGGCACTTGCTGAATGATGTTTGATCTTTTGCGTTCTAGATCTAAAGTTGAAACTTTAAATTTATACTGATGTTATTATAATACTGAAATAATCCCATAGTGGTTTAATAGTTCTGAAATTGAATTCAAAAGTCACAGTTAAAGTACCATTCACACTTGTTTAATGGCCTTACGTGCGCAAAATAAAATAGAAGAAAGTCTTCGACGGCTTTCTTCTGCGGAAAAAGTTGAATGAGGTTCAACATCAGTGTCCTCAGGGAAAATTTCACTATTTTATTTTTCGCATGTAAAGCCATTAAAATTCACGTTTGTTGACGTGTCTAAAAAACGCGATAGTGGGAATCCTTACATGAGGAAATTGACTTCACAGTTTATCAGGCCAAGGTTTCCGGAAAAATAAGATCTTCGTTTCAAACATTAATTTTAACATAGTGAAGATTTTGCTCTCTAAAATAACAGTAAAATCGTTATTCCACGTGTAAACTAAACAATTAATTCATTGACGACCACGACGTATCGGTTAATTATGCTAATGTAATTCTTCAAAAGCGAACGCGAAAATCATTTTTATCGGTCTTCGTCCAACGGCTGCTAAACAAATCAAAAGTCTGGAAATGCATTATCTAATACTCCAGTGTTTAATATTGTCTCGGCTCGTTATTCCAGAGTTAACATAAGCAAATGTGTAAAGAAGAGTTCATTGAATTATGAATTTTACTCAGAAATGAAACATAAAATTTCGCGACACCTTCTTAATCTTAAACTTAATCGTTGCGTTCACGGTGTTAGGGTATCTGGAGATAAGTGAAAATAAGATAAAATTAGCCAAAGAAGATAAAGAGTTTTTTTTTTTTTTGTCAGATTAATTTTGAGTTTACTCGGAGTGATTCTATTACAAAAATTTAATACATTTTATAGAAAGGAAACGTTTTAGACAGATTGTCATCTTGAATTGTCGAGGTCGTGTATTTTGCACTTGAGCACTTGGTAAGGTTTGACCGCAGAATTACGATCGTTTCAGTTTCGTTACCATAACACCATTGGCTTGAGTGTCGGTCAGTGTTTGTACTGCTAATACTGAGTTTTAGTAGTTTCAGTAGAATCAACGGGGTCATGATCTAGCGGTCTGGGTTCGAGCCCTCGCCGAGGTTTAACCCCAAGGTTTAACGCAGTAATGTTGTGTTGTGTTCTTGAGCAAGACACTTTCCTATCACAGTGCCTCTCTCCACTCGGGTGTATAAATGGGTGTTCGCAAATTTAAAGTAGCGGTGGGAGAGGGAGGGAGTAACACTGCGATGGACTAGCATCTGATCTTGGAGAGAGAGAATTCCCCTTGTAGATTAATGCAACAGAAACCACGATAAAGCTCTGTTGGTATGGACAACTCGGTGCAGCCTACCAAATTTTACTTTACCTGTGTTGGCGGTCAAAACGTACTTTAATTATTTAGGTTCAAAAGCTGTGACTATCTTTAGATAAAAAAGTAAATAACAAAAATCCTTTCTAATTAGATCGTCCAAAAATAACTACTAGCCCCTAACTTTTGGAGTGGACAACTTTAGTTAGTTAACTCACCGATTTTTGCTATATTGTACTGAGCACTATGGATTACAATAAATATATGCATATATATCATTTAAACAACATAAGTAAAAAGAAATAAATCGATTCATTAGTTAGTAGGTATATAACTTAAACTAGCGCGAGGGCCGTTATTGACGAAATACATTGGTGTAATTCTTTATTCCAATCAGAACGCTTCTAGCCTGTTCGTCGTGAACTAATTGTCCTAAAAACCAAGTGTATAGCCGTCCTTATATTTTGCTTCAACCTTGGGCGTAACCAATGGAAGTTTAAATTGTTCTTGCAAGTTAAGTCTGGTTGAGTAAGTAAGTAACTTTATTTCAACTCGAGTTGATGAGGCTGATTAGGCCCCCAGCAACACAGTAAAAAAAAGAAAAAATATCAAAAGAAAAAAAGAAAAAACATACATGATCAATTAATGACTAACATTCGATCTAACTATATCAATAAATAAACATTAAACAGTCCAAAATCTTAAAATTATTACAGTGAATCATAGAAAACTGTGCATCACAAATTTAGCTCTCTTACAGCATTCATAAATTCCTTAAGAATTGTCATTTGAAATATAAGATTGGGTTTATTTGCTTTCTACACGGATTTAAGTTTGTAAGACCGATTGTCGTAATTATTTAAAGTTAATTTAGTTACTGTTATCAGATTTTATTACATAGAGTGTTTTACTGGAAAATACATCACTCGTGAAATTCATACGAAACCACATCCGGGACTCAAGTGGCATATATTCCATATCCTCACTAGTGAAGATATCGATGATCTCACTGATATCAAGCGTGTCTCTTAAATCGAAGCATCTTCGCGTCTACCTCGAAAGTCTTCGGCAGTCTTCGGTAATCCTTGCAAATTTTCGGAAAATGTTCAGCAACGTTCTTGTGATCTTCGGAAAAGTTTTGGAGAATCTTCGTAAATCTTCAGAAAGTGGTCGAAAATCTTCGGAAAATCGTCAAAAACGCCTTCATCAGTATGTCTATATAATAAAAAGAACATTACACGTTAGCTCGAAGATATGAATTTTACGTCTTTTCAAATTAAATTCATATTTTCTCGCCATCGTGGAATATCCTCTATGTACTAAGTCCTCAGTAATTCATCAATTAATTTAGTATAAGCCCTTTCTTTAATTAGTGTAAGCCATCTGATGTCATTGTGGTTTCAATAAAGTGACTGAAAACAACTTTGAAAGTTTATCAAGTTGAAAGAGCTGTTTTCCACTGCCAAGCAATCGCGCATGAGGGATGCGTCTCGTTCGAATCTTTCTCTCCCTACGTCAGGTGTGTCAGCATCTTTGATTGGTATTTTATGGACTTTTCTTTGGATTCAGTGACCTAAGCCTCTAGCCCTCAAAAAGAACCAGGAGTGAATTAAACTGTGTCTTGACAAACGTTATTATCTAATGTAAACATATATAATAAACAAGTTTTGTAAAAGTTGAGGAATAGAATACACTGTGATCGAGTGGTTAAAAATTCAGGTCACTCTTTTGATGCAGTGGATACCAGCTAATACAAGTTCCACCTTAGCAATATCTACCCTCTTCACAAAAAAAAAGGAAAATAAACCTAGTTATCGGATACAGCTTTCTCTAATCAGCTGCATGTATACCATTAACAGAAAAACAACCACTCACCTCCTTTTGGTGTAAAGCTGAATCATCAGCAGTAACCGAACCAGTTTTGTTGCTAACGAATCTGCACTCTTGAGATACATTGTTTACATTACACCAGCCAGCTGCTATTATAGTTCACTAGCTGTCATTATAACTATCGTTATTATTGATTAATTAAAGTTTTAAAAAGAAAACTACACTTGGGTCCGGCAAGATCCAGCAACGTGACCCATACCGCCGAAGCTAATCCATTCGATGAAAAATTTCGGCGGCCCGTTTGAGTTTCCGGAAATTTCCTGTGTGACGAATGGAACAGCATTCTCTGGAATTTCCGATTTCTTTCCGGGAATTCCAGTCCCATTTGACTTTCCCCTCGGAAATTCCGGATCTTTCGGTTGAATGGTTCGCTTTTCGGGAAATGCAACAATTTCAGATTTTCTGGAAACTTTCCCCGGAAATTTCCGTACCGTTTGTCGCCGTTTCGAAATTTTCGAAATTTTTGGTTGAATAGAAAGCGCCTGCAGTTTTTATTCACTTAAGGTAACAATAGTAATAATCCGCAAGGATCATTGGAGCGCTTTCAGTGTGTGTCTTTGGCTTGCAGACAGAAACTCAAAATAAGATTTATCAGCTTGTCGTTTGCAAATCCTTTTATTTCAGCGAATCACGATCGTTACAGCTGATGGACAGTTGGATATACATACATTAAAAACCTGTGCGGAGTAAAAGCAATAAAGAATGAACGATAATCCGAGATTGTTTATAATTTTGTCGAAATTCAGACAACAATTGGCAAAAGTAGAAGTTATATTTCGGTAAGAACTATACCATCATCAGACTAGAATATGCATACAAGGTAGCTCTTAAACACGGTGTCAATAACAATGTAGAGACAAAACAAAAAGTCATGAGAAAAGGCAAAGTTCTCTGCTGGATTTGCATCCTTTGTTGAGGGAAGGTGTCAGGCGTTTGATGTAATCTGCCTCTTTGTATAGGAGAAGATTCCAATTGCTATCGCGAACGTAATACTGTGGTGTTGTTTCTGAGAGGTGGAAGGTTGTCAGAATTTAAGGTATCCGCTAGATTACACAGATTACATATGAACATTAAATGTTCTCAAGTGTGCAAATGTTTATATATTGTAGTCTCTTTGTCATATATAGCGTGTTGATATGTTCGGATGAAAAGAGTTCTATCTGTTTTGCCAATATACGTCGACCGACAACCGGGGCAGCTAAAGTTCTTTTTTTCTTTTGAAGTGAAAGCAATGTGAAGATTACTCTATCGATACTACAATCTGCTTTGAAAGTATGTTAACAACATCTTGTCGTCTTAGACCAGGTTCCTTAAAGGTCTTACACAGATAATAAACAGTCAGATTAGGCGCGAGTGAGGCTAGCCTATCCAACATGGCGCTTGCAGGGCTTTTCTCGATTTCTAACAAGGAGATTTCTGTTTCTCTCATAGCGTACCTTCGAGCCACTTGCTTCCATGTTGCTAGTCCAGGGAGGCGTTTCTTGCTTAGCAAATCACTGACGACCTGTTTCGTGGCTTGGTCCATCTCGTGCAAACCTCTGAATCCTGACGATATTGCAGAGATGAAAGAAATAAGAGGAAGAATTTTTACAGGATTAATATTAATATTGATGCGTAGTCTTTACTCGTACATTTTTTGGTTGTACTTAAGGACAAAGTTACGCCGCAAAATTGCACAAAAATGCTTAGAAATCTTACTTTTGTTGTACTTTTGCGTCATACCAAATAAAGAAAGAGAGCAGCAATTTTTTTTTTTGTTTTTTTTTTGGAGCAACTTTTGAACAATTTTTGTTCCGAAAAGTAACTTTTGACTTTTTCTTAGCATCTTTTTGACAAATTGCGGGCAGCTTTTTGGGAAATCTCGAGCAACTTGTGGAAAGCCCTAGGTTCGACTATAATAGGGTCTAAACAAAGTTATCTACCCATGCTAAAAAACCGTAAAAAAGGCTTGCTGTATCAATGGAGAAAACTGCACTTCACTTACTCATTTGAGTAGCAGGGAATACATCGATGTCAGCAGTATCTGAAGTTACAGATCCACTTTTATCCCACACGCGACAAAAATAGCGTCCAAAATCCTGCATTTCCACCGGCTCCAACACCAGGTCAGAGCGGTTAACCCCAGGGATTTCAACATCATCTTTAACCCAGCGGTACCGGACATCCGGTAGACCCCTGATACGGCAGCTCAACACTAATTTCTTTCCTTCCTGTATGGCCTGGGATTGAGGCATTTGGATGATCTCTAGGTCTGCAGACAAAATATAAATCAACAGCTTAAGATGAACGGATTACAGTGCGATTTCTTGGACAGGGCCACCCAAAGGAAAACTGACTAATGAGAACTTAGACTGAGAACTACGGAGTGTTGTCTTTTTCGTGAACAACAGGGCAAGAAAGGGTTCGTTTGATATAAATACGTAAATACTTGCGACTCTTCTGCATTATTTACACTCTAAAGATTTAGTCCTTGACGGCGAATTATCATTATTATAAATTTCACTCGAAAAATCTACCTTCAAAACTTGTTTCGCCGCAACTAAACCAAAACCGTTGACCGAAGACGCACAGAAAATTACTACAATCAACAAGTGTCAAAGTTCCCTGAGAGGTCAGCAGCAGTTCACACTTTTGTAAGCTTTCCAATTTTGTAAGAGAATTATTGTTCGTGTTCTTCAATGTTATTGTTTTTATGTTGTTGTTTTTTTTTAAGAAAAAGATCGCTATCCTTTGTTCTCATGTGACGTTCTGATTGGTTAACTGTTTTCCAAGTGATCCGGTCGGTAGTCGCACTATAATAATAGACCTCCTGCCATGCTCTCTCCGTGTTTCTGGAGGCTTCTTGAGTATTGTTGAAGTCGCGACATAACTACGTCTCAGGAAACATCGAGATTCGAGGGAAGACAACACTAACTGTTTCCCAAGGGACCAGTAATTAAGAGTTTTGTTATATAGCTGGAGTTATTAGTACAGTAATAAGGCAAGAAGAATTACCCACAAGTCAAGGTAACCGTGGGCGATGTCATGGTAACCATTGCTACGTGACCATAACTCAACCAATAAGAGTGCGTTGTAGATTCAACTATATAACGAATTCAATTCGCTCGTGTCATGTTGATTAATTCACCTTCACATTTCATTACCGAGCTTAAAATTCACCATCTTTATTAACTTATCACTA